TGGTGCTATACTGCACCCTGACTGGTTCGTCTCTTCCTGGTGACCCTTCTGTAAGGGGATGCCCAATTATCTGCTGATGGGCTTTGGCTCTCCACTCTGCCCTCCCCCTCATTCACATTGGTATAATTTTTTTTGTTCTGAGTCTTTGGTGCCTGATACCTGATCCCATAGACACCCCATGATCACACAGGCTGGTGTGCTTCTTCCATGTGGGCTTTGTTGATTCTTAACTAGATGGCCGCTTGTTTATCTTCGAGCCTTTAAAACCACAGATGCTATATCTTTTGATAGCCGAGCACCATCAGCTTTCTTCAGCAAATTTGCTTATGCACCCATTTTGTCTTCAGCAATTGTGTCTAGAAGGTGAGCGTCACAGAATGCCAAGTTATTAGAACAAAGTGTTCTTGTGTTGAGGGAGTGCTTGAGTGGAGGTATTGAGGGAGTACTTGAGTGGAGGACCAATGTCCATCTGCTACCTTAATATTTAACATATAAATACATGTACATAGATCTATTTCCCTATCGTTATATAAAATATATTTCCATATGCACATGCCTATCTTTAGACCTCTATAGATGTCCTTTGCCTCCTGCTTCTTTCCTCTATTTCCTTTTACTTTCCTCTTGTCCCACTATCATGTTTGGCCTTCATTCAGGTTTCAGTAATTCCTCTTGGCTACATTGCCCTTGATAAAGCCCCACCAGGCACCCTATACCCTCCTCATCATTGATTTTAGGTCACTTGTTGTTCCCTTGTCTCTGAGTTGTTGTCAACCACTTCCTTTCCCCCACCTCCCCCACTCCCATGTCCCCCCTTCATTCTTTTATCAAATTGACATAAAATTGTATAACTACCACACTCATTGAGCTGCTAATGAATCAAAAGGTGAGCATTTCGAAACCACCAGCAGCTCCTTGGGAACAAGATGAGGCTTTCTACTCCCATAAAGATTTGCCATCTCAGATCCACCACACCAATTCTTCCCTCCCCAACAGGGTTACCTTGTGTCAGAATTAATTTGATAGCAGTGAGTTTAGTTTTCAGTTTTTATCTTACCAAGCATGATGACCTTTCCCAGGGACAGATCCCTCCTGATGGCATGCCTAAAATACATGAGATTATGTCTATCAGCTTCACATCTAAGGATCCCTGACTATACTTCTTCCAACATGGAATTGTTTATTCTTCTGGCAATCCATTGTATATTTAATATTCTTAGATTAAACCATAATTCAAAGGCATCAATTCTTATTTTATTCATTGTCCATCTTGCACATGCAGATGAAACAGTTGAAAATACCATGACTTGGGTCAGATGCACCTCAATCTTTACAGTGACACCTTTGTTTTGTAACACTTTAAATGTGTCTTGTGCAGCAGATTTGTCCATTGCAACATGTCATTTGATTTATTGACTGTTGCTTCCCTGCTCTTTGATTGTAGATACAAACAAAATGAAATATTTGACAAATTTAATCTTTCCTGCATTTATCATTTTGTTGGCTACACTCTTCTACTGTATAATAACTCAATACCTGAAATCTCTGCCCTATAGCTGTTCAGGTGTTGAGCTCACCATGGCTACCAAAGGTGAGCAAATGCTGCTTCTAGCTGTATTTTTTATGCAAACAAAGTGCTTTTTATGTGTGTAATTGCATTGCATCTTCTCCTTATCTAACACATATGTTTCTTACCTGAAACAAAAGATTATCTTATCTCATACATGTTCATATCTGACTATGACCTTTGAAAACAAGGTGGCCTGTGTATTTGATATTCATAAAAATTCCCATGAATTAAAGCACCTCTTTACCCAATGCATAAGTTATTTATGGGATATAGAATTGGTGGGTGAGGATTTAGTACCTGAGGAATTGGGTGGTTGGAAGTATATGTATATACAGAATGAAAGGAAAGCATAAGACATACAATACTTTGGTTTCTGTTATGAGTAGTAGCTACAATGGCAGGGGGGTGGGGGAGGAATGTAGGAGCAAATTGTAGCACTAAACCAAGCCCAGGTCAAGTTTGGTCAAAACTTTGACCACTAGTTCCAGGGTCAACCAAGAAAATAAAGTCTGTGTTAGAACAACAAGAACAGACAAAACCAAGAAACAATTGAAACCAGGAGGTGCAGTGTAAAAGGAGTTGCTTCAATTTGTAGATCATTATCATCTACTTTCTGAAGAGCCATTTCTAAAGTGGATTGTGAGAGTTACTATTTTAGGAGCAGTGTCTTCAGTTTTTAATGCTTGCAGAATAAATGCTAATGGATAGTAGGCCAAAACATTTTAAATCATTTTAAAAGGTGCTCTTCCAGCTCTTATAACAATCCAGGCATCAATTGTATCAAGCATATTTGTACATATGTTGGGTAGGCCAATTTTATAATAGGTTGCTTAGCTCACACTTGGATATCATACTTCATGCTAATTAATGAAATGCTTACTTCTACTCACTTAATAACCCAGAGAAAATAAAGACACTCTTTCTGAAGAGCTATTTATACTCTTTCTGAGTAGCATATTTATTTTTTATAATTTATATGTTTTATATATTTATTTATTGCAACTTATATCTCTTCATTTATAACCTGTTCTATAATAAATTTTCCTTTATAATATTTAGATATTTTAGCTTCTTTTTATTTAGTTTTAAATCTGGTCACATAAAATTAAGATCTCCTGCATTTTTATTAATTTATACATAAACCAGTGTTACTCTCCTTTATATCTCTAAAATATTTTATGCATTTTATAATTTTAATCTTCACATATTCTCATTGCGACATAAAAATAATAAGCTGTTTCAGAAATCATTGAGGTTAAAATATTATCATACACACTGAGTGGTATAATAATTTTTTCTTCTAGTTTTAAAATATTTTATTAATGAGTAATCTTAGTTTCCTGAATTGCCTATAATTGATCCCACGTTTTCACTTTCCAATCATAACTAAATCTAATAATCTTAGTACTAGCTAAGTAAAAATATAGATATGCAAATCTAGATGTTAGAGGACTCAAATTCTCAAAGATACCTAAGCAATTATTTTCATTTTGCTTATGTGCACATAAAAACTGATCCAAACCTATTGCACTGGGGTCAATTCCCCCTCATAGTGACCCCACAGGACAGAGTAGAATTGTCCCATAGGGTTTCTGAGGCTGTAAACCTTTACAGAAATAGACTGCCTCATCTTTCTCCTATGGAGCAGTTGACGTATTTGAACCACTAACCTTTCAGTTCACAGCACAATGTTTAACTCATTGCATCACTCTTTTGTACATATAGTCACTGAAAACCTCATAGGACATGAATATATGTACATATGCAGTCAACAGGACATATGTCTTTAAGAATCATTGCCTAAGAGAAGAGTGTCCAACATTGTATTTTAATGGAAAATGCTCTTGCTATGTAACATTGCAGCCATTGCTGAAGTCTTCAATAACAAACAAGATGGACACTATACTCTAAGCCTGGATTCATGTCTTCTCAATATGTTCTAGATCCTTACAGCAAAGCTGACCACATCAGAACCGAGTCTTAAAGAAAGATTTCACAGTGTATCTTGAAAACACTCACTAAATTTAAGATATTTATGAAAAAATCTAATTGAAGACATTATTTTCCAAAAATCGCCCAAATTAACTTGTATTGCCTAGTCTCTTCCTGAGACTTACAACCTTACCAAACAGCCTGCTCATTGCCATTTTCATCTCCTTATTTCTAAGTGTATAGATGATAGGATTCATAAAAGGAGTGATGAGGGCATCAAAGATGGCTAAAAATTTATCAATAGGCAAGGTAGGGAATGGCCATACATAGACAATAATGCAAGGGCCAAAGAAAAAGACCACCACTGTGATGTGTGCTGAGAGAGTTGAGAGAGCTTTAGAAGAACCACTTGAAGTATGTTTATGAACAGTGACTAGGATGAAGATGTAAGACACAATCAAAATGAAGAAGGTGCCCATGGAAATAAAACCACTGTTGGCAGTGACCAAAAACTCAAGTCTATATGTATCTGTACATGCCAGTTTGATAAAGCGAGGAAAATCACAATAAAAGCTGTCCATTTTGTTGGGGCCACAAAAGGGTAAATTTACAACAAATGCCAATTGGGCCACAGAATGGATGAGGCCAATGGTCCAAGCAACAGCCAAAAGGAAAATGCACATTCTCAGGCTCATGATGGTCAGGTAGTGAAGGGGCTTACAGATGGCAATGTATCGGTCATAAGCCATGACGATGAGAAGCACCATCTCTGTACCCCCAACAGTGTGAATGAAGAACATCTGTGTAATGCAGCCTTTCAAGGAAATAACCTTATGTGTTCGGAAAAGATCATAAATCATTTTTGGAGTTGCAATGCTGGAAACACCCGTGTCGATGAAGGAGAGATTTGCCAGCAAAAAGTACATGGGAGAATGTAAGCGATGATCTGAGATGATTGTGAACACAATGAGCAGGTTTCCCAGCATACTTGCTACATAAAATATCGTGAAACATAGGAAAAGAAGGATCTGCATCTCCCAAGAACTAGCAAATCCCAACAAGAGGAACTCAGACACCACCGAGTGATTTCTCCCACCCATCAACTTCCTGCGCAAAGCTGACCCGGAAATTACTGGAAGAACATGACAAAGAGAAAAGCATAAATTTTTTGCGTTGAAAATGTAGGTCCTAGTTACAGAGTGACACAAATGCCAAAAATTCAGGATTCGCTTACCATTTTACACAGCTGCTTAGGGTTCACATAGCAGATCTGCAAGGACCAGGCCTCCCTCCGAGCCTACATCATTGCCACCATCTCATGATGTAGCTTCAAGTTTATTTTAGATTCTAGAATATACTTTACAAATGGAAGGCATAGAGAAAAGTACAGTACCTAAGAATTTAAGGAAAGACAGTCAGAAAGTAAAGGGATTTATGCTGCCTGATTTCTACACCGAAGAAAAACAAATGCTGCAGAATGAAAAGATGTGTAAAAAGGCAAAGAGAGGTCTGGAGAAGTACTTGCATTTATTCTTTTCAATGACTGCCTAATATTCACAGTGCTGATAGATCATTATTTATTAATCCTCCTATAAATAGACATTTAACTTGTTCTGCATTCTTTTAAAGACAATGCTATAAACATCCTTACACCTATATCTTTGCATATTAATATCTTTCTTTTAATGGCATGGATCCCCAGAACTGGGGTTACTGGGTCAGGTTTTTAATTGCTGGCTGTTGTTTTTAATTCCAGTCAAGTTGTCAGATTGTTTTCCACGATGATTGGAACATAGTATTTCCACAAGAATTAATAGTCCCTTACTTGGCACAATGAAGCACTAGACAACTAGCCAAAAGGTTTGAATCCACGCAGATGCACCTCAGAAGACATACCTGAAAGGTCACAGCCTTAAGAACCCTATGGAGTGGCTCCATTTTTAATCAAAATAAACTCAATGGCAAGCAACAAGAACAACATAGAGGGTGTAAAGTGATACCTAATTACTAATTTTCATTTCTCGGACAACCAATAAGTTTGAGCATCTTTCTCTGTGTTTGTTTGCAATTTGGTGTTGCTCTTCTATAAATTACCTGTTCATTTGGTTTCATATTTAACTTCTATATTTCTTTTCTTGTCAGTTTATAAGAATTTTATTTGTATTATAGATGTTAACCCTTTCACGTCTGTAACATATATTGTTTCCAAATCGTCTATTACACTGTTTAGGTTTCATTTCAATAGTTTACTACACACAACTATTTCCCTACTAATATATTCTATTTCCCATCCACTTTTCCCAATATTACTAAATCTGCAAAATACAACATCAGACCACACTCTACTTGAACCAGATTGCTCTTCCCAAGAAGCATCTTGATTATATAAATAGCCTGATCAAAATATTCTCAGGGGTTCCCATCATCTCTAAAAGTACAAAGTTCTGATCTACAGTGTAACTCTATAATTTAGCTTCATATCATCTTTCCACCGTTAACTCTTTCCATGCCCATTCAAAAATGTCCATCGCCTCCTCCCCCAACATCTGTTCTTCTGTCCACCAGTGAGCTCCCGGACTTACTGAAGGCCGACGGCTGCCTCTTCACTTTCCTGATACTCATCCAGTGAAGACCACCAAACACCTCAGGGTGGCTAAGATTTCATTCTCATGATCTCTGCATCATTTCAAACTCTCCATCATTTCTTGCCCTCTAAGAAAGAATGTGGGTACAGAAATGTGCAAAGACTTTGTCACCTTTTCCTACTACCCACTTTCAATAAGAATTCTAACTAGAGTCATTAACCTAGGGACAGACATAAATCAGTATAGCTTAAAAGTCAAAGGGCAGATGATACCATAAATATATAGTGCACAACTTAACCTTAAATACAACCAAATATATAAATTCTAAAACCCGCTTTAGAAATTCTGAGTGTTTGATACATGGATTTGTTCACTCCTCTCCAAACCTCAAGACACACTTACTTACTTAGGATAATTATTTAATACCATTTACTTCTACTGAGCTTGCAATTAAATTGGAAAATTATTGTCATCCACTAGATAGTGCTGTTTTATATATGAAGAGATGCCAAAATATCTATCAACTAAATCTACTGATCAATGACTCATCCAAACAATTTTTAAGGAAACACTTAAACCTCCCTTGAGTTTATGGTATCCAGAGTAAATGAAGATGTTTCATGATTAATGGCATTTATTTTCTACTCCATTTTTAACGTTAGTAATTCCAGTCCAAACCTCTTGACTATCTACACACCATTTTCTGATGTTCCAACTAATCTTGATTATAAATCTTTAACAAAAATCTATTTAAATTAAATATTTTATAATTGTTTCTTGTCTCTTCTGTTGTCTGATATCTTATTGGATTTAAGAAATCTGAATATTAAATGATAATTGTCCTATATCCTGTGAAATATTATCATAAGTTAGAATATGATTAATTCTAATGATATTGCTCTCAATCCTATGGGTAATAAGCTCATTTAAAATGATCAGTTTTTTCCTCTCATATAATTGCAACTAAGACAATTTCCATTCTATCACAAATGCTGCAAATTTTATCATTTTTAATAATTTCTTCTAGAAGAGAAACATCAAAATTAGTATTATTACTTGGCTTCTTAATTAGCTTTTCTCCTCTAAAAACCTTTTATAGCAGTTCTTATAGTAGCACAATAGCTAGCAAAGTATGTAGTAAAAATCATTTATAGCTTAATATTTTTTAAAAGCTCAAAAAGGCTAAATGAATTGCCTAATTTTGCACAGCTCAATGTCAAATGAAAACCTACTTCTTGAATACTTTTTTTAAAAATACAAATGAACAAAAAAGGACCTTATAGAAACTTATAGAAAATGTTAAAAATTCTTATGAAAATTAATTTTTACACAGGGATTATTGGTGACTTTTTTCTATCTTTATAAGGTTTCTACTGTGTACATATATTATCTTTAAAGAAAAATATTAATTTGAAAAACAAGTTGAGTTCAAATTTCAGGGTTTCTTCATACACTGTCAGGCACTGACAACTTAAGGTCAAGGATAATCCTCAGACGCACAAGGAATAGCTTTGAACTTATAAGGTACTCAACAGAGGTCTGTAGAAAACCAAGTGAGCCCTCCAGGTTTTACACATCATCTCCAGCTCCTCTGTCACCTTAGTCATAGTGTCATCTAATGAGGCTCAAGTACCTATACATTTATGCTGTCCCTTGGTTGTCCAAAGATTTCCACCATTTGTTCTCACCAAGATAGGGTATCCTCAAACTTCTCATCCTCCAGAATGATCCTTTCCAGAACCTCTTTTGATTAAACCATTTCAACATTGAGCCAGATCACTACAGAGTGTTAGGAGGAAAACATATTTTGGAATAAATTTCAGATCAATGTAAGCCTCTTTGTATTTATATTTTAATTATATCATTTATGTCCTGGACTATGCTTATCTTCCTGGCTATTCCAGGATGCTGTTCTCTCATTCTTAGCCTGTCCTCTTTGCACACCAGAAATAAAAACATCAACAACTTGGGACTCGTGAACCGTGTCTCTATTTGATCTTAGCTCTCCAAGGTGAGGTTTTCACAAGAGAATTGAGGATTAGTGCATTCCACTGTCTGTTCCTCTGTCAATACGTGAACAACGCACAGGAATCTTCTCTGAGCCTGAGAAATGATGGATACTCACTGATGAAAATGACATTAATCCTATATATATGCATAGATTGTTTAAATGGTTCTTTAAAAGACAAGGGAAACCAGAAATCCCTCTTACCTTTGTAAAACCAAAGAATATATTCTTTTCAGATAGTAGAGAAATTTCCTTTGAATTTTATGAGAATAAAAACTTTAATTGGATGGGAGCTATAATTCCTGAAAGAAAAAAAATAAGAACTAGTTTGAATAATGCTGAGAGGTATAAGGCATCATCAGAACAAAAAATCTTACCATAGTGAATGATGGGGGGAGTGCGGAGTGGAGATCCAAAGCCCATTAGTAGGCCACTGGAGATCCCCTTGCAGAGAGGTCTCGGGGAGGAGACGAGCCAGTCAGGGTGCGATGTAACAACCATGAGAAATACAACTTTCCTCTAGTTCCTAAATGTTTCCTCCCCGCTCCCACTACCATGACTCGAATTCGAACTTGCAAGTCTGGCTAGACCAGAGGATGTACACTGGTACAGATAGGAACTGAAAATACAGGGAATCCAGGGCAGATGAGCCCTACAGGACCAGTAGTGTGAGTGGTGAAACAGGGATGGTGGAGGGAGAGTGGGTAGGAAGGAGGGAACTGATTACAAGGGACTATACGTGACCTCCTCCTTCGGGGACGGACAACAGAAAAGTGGGTGAGGGGAGACATCGGACAGGGCAAGATATGACAAAATACCAATTTATAAACTATCAAGGGCTCATGCGGGAGGGGGAGCGGGGAGGGAGGGGAAAAATGAGGACCTAATGTCGGGGGTTTAAGTGGAGAGAAAATGTTTTGAGAATGATGTATAAATGCGCTTTACACAATTGATGTGTGTATGGATTGCGATAACAGTTGTATGAGCCCCTAATAAAATGTTTTAAAAAAAAAAAGAACATTAAAAGTCATGTCCTCAAGACACTGTAAAAGTCTTACCATCATAATTTAGCACAGTAATATTTGAACAATTTATTGTTCATTTTCATTATTTTGTTTTCTTTTTCAAATGTTCCTCTGAGGGGCTTGCTATAGTGAGAAGAAAAGGCATTTTCATTAACACATTAAAAGAACTATTAATAAAGATTTTGCCTCATGAAAAATCAATAAAAACAAAAAAGAATAATGCTGAGAATCAAATGACAGAAATCAATAGTTAATAAAAATACATAAACTGAACATGTCACTTAGGGATTTATCTACTATGAAAAGCTAAGAGGAAATATGAATTTTGGAAATAACTGTTTGTCAGAAAAAATACAAGTATCATGTTATTTAATCCTCATGGAACAACCTGTCTCTCATGTCTTCTGATACTTATATTAAAAAGTTGTTGAATAACAATTAAATTCTAGATTAAGAGGAAAAATAATTACTAGACATTAGTG